ATACACATGGGAGAGTGGTGAATATGAATTGTACAACAACCATTCATTATATTTCCGACTGTGATGACGTAGAAGCCTTACCTGTCATAGTCCGTGATCCTGACAGTCGACATGTGGAAACTCACATTACCACGAAACATGACGTGACCTTCAAACCTACCAAGGTAGGAAGTCATGAAATAGTTTTGAATAAGTATGATGCACCAGCAGACTCCAACCTGTATATCATTGATGTGATAGATACCAAGGGACTGTGGAAAGTAGGTAGGACAGGGGTGAACAATGCAGAATTCAATACACCTGTAGGTATTACTGTTGATAAGATGGGAAACGTTCTGATAGCAGATGCTGGTAACAAAAGGATACAGATACTTGACAGTAATGGCAAATACATTGATCAGATACTGCTTGATTCAGAGCGTCCCATTGGTGTTGCCATGGCATTGAATAGTAATATTGTTGTGGTAGAATTTGACACTAAACATGTTCATATATACAGCGAAAATAGAGAAAAGATAAAACAGTTCACATATAAAGAATTTGTAAAACCTTATGGCGTAACTGTCAACAGTAAAGGACATATATTGGTAGCTGATCCTAAGGCACATTGCATCTTTGTGTTTACATCTGATGGAGATTTCATAATGAAGATTGGGAAGGAAGAAGGTGAAGGTAAACTGAATAACCCCCACTTCGTTGCTACTGGCAGGAATGATGACGTCATTGTGTCGGACACTTATCAAGGACTGGCATTATTCACCAAACATGGACAGTTTATACGTAGAATTCATCAAATAGGAGACGATGACAAGCTATATGACTGCACTAGTGTTGCAGTTAACAGTGATTATAGCATAATAGTAGCCGACGAACAGTCCATACCACATAGAATATTGGTACTGACGTATGACGGTACGCTTATTCGATCTCTTGAAAGTCAGCACCATAAACTGAGCAGACCGCTTGGTGTAGCTGTGACTGAAGATGGGTATGTTCTGGTACCTGACTTCGGCAACAACTGCATCAAGAAATACAAATTGTAAACTGTATTTCGGTTACCTTCAGTCAAACTGAACCATACAGATGACAGTAAATGAATATCTACATGAAAGTATGACTACTCTGACTTCATCAAGTAATGTTGGCCATATAGTACGTGATCAAATCAAGACCAACTAACAGCATCGCAATGAGTACATACTACGATATATCATATTATTATACACCAAGCTCCGAAGCATATGGCACTGAACACTGCAATAATTACAGATTATTCACAAAATATCGGAATTTACTTCCGAAACTACTATTATGCTTTCATTAACACTGTAAAAACTATCGAGCAAATTTATTAGTGTAGTGACATTGCGAATATCTTTAGAAAGTATTATAACATGCAGTAATGACAAGAAGAATAACTTTAAAGTTCAGCAGCCATAATACTGCCACCTTGATTGAACTCTTAACTGCATAAATAAATAAATAAATAAATAAATAAATAAATAAATAAATAAATAAATAAATAAATAAATAAATAAATAAATAAATAAATAAATAAATAAATAAATAAATAAATAAATCATTGTCAACAGGACAATACATTCTGAGTGTCAGTATCATGTACATAAAAACAGACTGAGATTAGCTTAAGACAGAACACTGCAGGCAATGTGGATGCAAAATTAGTTCATCCTTAGTCTGCTCTGTTTCGGGAGTTTTTACATGTGCACATATGGGAGTAGTCTACATTATTTATTTCACTATTAGTCAACAGTATGTGAATTATTTTGGTTTACTGTCAATCTCATTTTTGAGAAACAGTAAAATAATACGCATAAATACCACAATGAAAAAACATTTCCGCGTTAAAAACCCACTATTTTTTTCAATACTTCTGGATATTAAAAAGTACCACTTTTTTAACATACGTCACCGAGTAAAATTTTGAAATGTATATCCTTGCCATAGGAAACAATGGTATAATGCACTAAAGCAGACAAAACATGTTATTTTCACTGTTTTTTTATTTTGAGCACGGTGTCCCCATATTTTAATTTTCTTAATGCCTGTACCATGATATATTAATTAAATATACGTCTACTCATAATATTTGA